GAGAAGTCACCCCAGAAATGGACACTGATATCCCAAAATGGGAGCACTCAGCCCGAAAATGGGAGAATTCACCCCAAAACTGGGAGAAGTCACCCCAGAAATGGACACTGATATCCCAAAATGGGAGCACTCAGCCCGAAAATGGGAGAATTCACCCCAAAACTGGGAGAAGTCACCCCAGAAATGGACACTGATATCCCAAAATGGGAGCACTCAGCCCGAAAATGGGAGAATTCACCCCAAAACTGGGAGAAGTCACCCCAGAAATGGACACTGATATCCCAAAATGGGAGCACTCAGCCCGAAAATGGGAGAATTCACCCCAAAACTGGGAGAAGTCACCCCAGAAATGGACACTGATATCCCAAAATGGGAGCACTCAGCCCGAAAATGGGAGAATTCACCCCAAAACTGGGAGAAGTCACCCCAGAAATGGACACTGATATCCCAAAATGGGAGCACTCAGCCCGAAAATGGGAGAATTCACCCCAAAACTGGGAGAAGTCACCCCAGAAATGGACACTGATATCCCAAAATGGGAGCACTCAGCCCGAAAATGGGAGAATTCACCCCAAAACTGGGAGAAGTCACCCCAGAAATGGACACTGATATCCCAAAATGGGAGCACTCAGCCCGAAAATGGGAGAATTCACCCCAAAACTGGGAGAAGTCACCCCAGAAATGGACACTGATATCCCAAAATGGGAGCACTCAGCCCGAAAATGGGAGAATTCACCCCAAAACTGGGAGAAGTCACCCCAGAAATGGACACTGATATCCCAAAATGGGAGCACTCAGCCCGAAAATGGGAGAATTCACCCCAAAACTGGGAGAAGTCACCCCAGAAATGGACACTGATATCCCAAAATGGGAGCACTCAGCCCGAAAATGGGAGAATTCACCCCAAAACTGGGAGAAGTCACCCCAGAAATGGACACTGATATCCCAAAATGGGAGCACTCAGCCCGAAAATGGGAGAATTCACCCCAAAACTGGGAGAAGTCACCCCAGAAATGGACACTGATATCCCAAAATGGGAGCACTCAGCCCGAAAATGGGAGAATTCACCCCAAAACTGGGAGAAGTCACCCCAGAAATGGACACTGATATCCCAAAATGGGAGCACTCAGCCCGAAAATGGGAGAATTCACCCCAAAACTGGGAGAAGTCACCCCAGAAATGGACACTGATATCCCAAAATGGGAGCACTCAGCCCGAAAATGGGAGAATTCACCCCAAAACTGGGAGAAGTCACCCCAGAAATGGACACTGATATCCCAAAATGGGAGCACTCAGCCCAAAAATGGGAGAATTCACCCCAAAACTGGGCACTGACACCCCAAAAATGGGAAAATTCACCCCAAAAACGGATCCAGTCAACCCAATCTGGCCAAATTCACCCCAAAACTGGGTGAACTCATCCCAAACTGGGCACTGACACCACAAAACTGGGAAAATTCCCCCTAAACTGGGAAAATTCATCCCAAAATTGGACCCAGTCACCCCAAACTGGGTCCAGGCACCCCAAAACTGGGAAAATTCATCCCAAACCTGGATCCAGTCACCAAAAAACTGGGCAAATTCACCCCAAAAATTGATCCTGTCACCCCAAACTGGGTCCAGTCACCCCAAAACTGGGAAAATTCACCCCAGAAATGGGAAAATGCATCCAAAAATGGGAAAATTCATCCAAAAATCGGAAAACTCACCCCAAAATCGGGAAAATTTATCCCAAACTGGGAAAATTCACCCCACAAATCGGAACATTCATCCAAAAATGGGAAAATTCACCCTAAAAATGGGAACATTCATTCAAAAATGGGAAAATTCACCCCAGAAATGGGAACACTCATCCCAAAAATGGGAAAATTCACCCCCAAAATGGGAAAATTCACCCCAAAAATGGGAACATTCATCCAAAAATGGGAACATTCATCAAAAAATGGAAAAATTCATCCCAAACTGGGAACATTCATCCAAAAACGGTTAAATGCAGTCCAAAAATGGGAAAATTCATCCAAAACCGGGAAAATCCACCCCAAAATTGGGAAAATTTATCCCAAACTGGGAAAATTCAGCCCAAAAATGGGACCATTCACCCCAAAAATGGGAAAATTCATCCCAAAAATGGGAAAATTCGTCTAAAAATGGGAGAATTCACCCCAAAAATGGGAACATTCATCAAAAAATGGAAAAATTCATCCCATAAATGGGATCATTCATCCCAAACTGGGAAAATTCACCCCAAAAATGGGAAAATTCATTCAAAAATGGGAACATTCACCCCAAAATCGGGAAAATTTATCCCAAACTAGGAAAATTCACCCCAAAAATGGGAACATTCACCCCAAAAATGGGAACATTCATCCCAAAATGGGAAAATTCGTCTAAAAATGGGAGAATTCACCCCAAAAATGGGAACATTCATCAAAAAATGGAAAAATTCATCCCATAAATGGGATCATTCATCCCAAACTGGGAAAATTCACCCCAAAACTAGGAAAATTCACCCCAAAAATGGGAACATTCACCCCAAAAATGGGAAAATTCTCCCCAAAAATGGGAAAATTCATCCAAAACTGGGAAAATTCACTCCAAACTGGAAACATTCATCCAAAAATGGTTAAATGCAGTTCAAAAAGGGGAAAATTCACCTTAAAAATGGGAAAATTCACCCCAAAAATGGGAAAATTCACCTTAAAAATGGGAAAATTCATCCAAAAATGGGAAAATTCACCTCAAACTGGGCAAATCCTCCCCAGGCTGGGGTATTTGGGATTCGGGGTCCCCCGGGAACACCCAGGCTGATCCCACCGGATCCATCCCCTCCCGGGAAATCCCGTCCCTGTCACCCCATCCCCATCCCCCTGCTTTGCGCAATTCCCGTTTCCTTCCCCATTCCTGCGGATACTGGGGAACGTCCGGCCTGAGTCACCCCCCGGGTGTCACCAACACCCCCCGAGGCCCCCCTGGATCCAGAAGGAGCTGAATCCATGGGAAATTCCATGTGGGAAGGTAAAAAATCCGAGAGTTCCAGCCCGGAATTGCGGTTTTGGGTTTTTTTTTTTTTTCCCAACCGGAACCATTATGGGGTTGATTAAAAGCTTCATCCCAACGATCCCGGAATTCCCACGGGATCGGTGTGGCCGCCGGAATGTTCCCTTTGGGAGAGCCCATTCCAGGGATTCCCAACCTTCTTGAGGAGCGGGAAGCCGAAGGAGAAAAGAGAGGAGCAGGATGAGGTCAGCGCCCCAAAAATTCCAAGGAATTTGGGTTTGCCACGCGGATTCCCCATCCCTGGAAGTGTCCAAGGTCAGGTTGGACGGGGCTTGGAGCCACCTGGGAATGGGATTGATGGGATTTGAGGAATCCCGGGATTCCAGAAGAAGCCGGAGGGACCCTCCCAGGGGTGGGGTTGGGATCGGGGAGTTGGATCCCACTGGGATTCCGGGGTTTCCCTGGGATTTCGGGGTCTGAGGGTGGGAGAAGCGAATTGGGGTAGAGGGGGCTTGGGGTGGAACTGTGGGGACTGGGATATAGGGATGGGATACAGGGATACAGGGATACAGGGATATAGGGACACAGGGATATAGGGACACAGGGATACAGGGATATAGGGATATAGGGACACAGGGATATAGGGACACAGGGATATAGGGACACAGGGATACAGGGATATAGGGATATAGGGACACAGGGATATAGGGACACAGGGATATAGGGATACAGGGATACAGGGATACAGGGATATAGGGATTCAGGGACATAGGGATATAGGGATTCAGGGGTACAGGGATTCAGGGATATAGGGGCATAGGGATGGGATTCAGGGATATAGGGACACAGGGATATAGGGATCCAAGGATATAGGGACTCTGGAATATAGGGTTACAGGGATTCAGGGATACAGGGACACAGGGATATAGGGACTCAGGGATACAGGGATACAAGGATACAGGGATACAGGGATGGAGCTGGGTACAAAGGGACTGGGACCAGGTCAGGAATAGGGTCAGGGACAAGTCTGTGGGACACAGGGACAGGGTCAGGGACAGGATCGGGGGCAGAGCCAGGGACCAGTCCAGTGACAGGATCAGGACTGGGGACAGGGACAAGGATGGGGACAAGGTTGGGGACAGGACTGGGGACAGGGAGGGTCAGGATCAGGGACAGAGCCAGGGACAAGTTCAGTGGCAGGGACAGAGTCAGGGACAGGGATGGGGACAGGGATGGGGACAGGGACAGAGAGTCAGGGGACAGGTTCAGTGACAGGATCGAGGACAGGGACAGAGTCATGGACCAGGATGGGGACAGGAGCAAGGACAGAAATAAGAGCAGGGACAGTATCAGGGACAGAGTCAGGGACAGGGACAGGTTCAGCGACAGGATCAAGGACAGAGACAGAGGGACAAGGATGGGGACAGGGTCAGGGACACATAGGGACCTGTCCAGTGACAGGATCGGGACTGGGGACTGGGACAAGATCGGGGACAGGATCAGGGACAGGGATGGGGACAAGGATAGGGACAGGTTCAGTGACAGGATCAGGGACAGAGTCAGGGACAGGGACAGGTTCAGCGACAGGATCAAGGACAGAGACAGAGGGACAAGGATAGGGACAGGATCAGGGACAGAGTCAGGGACCAGGATGGGGACAGGATCAAGGACAGGGACAAATTCAGTGACAGGATCAGGGACAGAGTCAGGGAGCGGGAACACAGAGGGACAGACACCGGGACAGGGACCAGTGACAGAGTCAGGATCACACACAGAATCAGGGACAAGGATGGGGACAGGGACACACAGGGACAGTCAGGGCTGGCCGCAGGGTCCAGTCCCTTCACCCCTGCGCGTCCCCAGGTCGGGCTGGCTGTCCCCTGGGGGCGTGGGGACACGCGTGACGCCGGGCGGGTGGCACCAGCGGGGTTCCTGTTCCCCGGCGGGCACGGGGCAGGAAGCGGAGGCACCACCGTCCTTGTCCCCGACGTGTCCCCAAGGCCATGCCCGACACCCCCGACCTGTACGAGACCCTGGAGATCCGGTACCCGCCCCCCCGGGCCCGCGGGGACCCCCGGCCGGCCCTGCCGCCGCCACCGGCGTGGTCCCCGCGGTGTCCCGGGTGTCGCCGGGCGCTGGGCACGGCCGCGCTGCTGCTGCTGGCGGTGGCGCTGGCGGCGCTGGGCACCCTCTGTGAGTGGCGACAGCGGTGACAGCGGCGGGGACAGGGATGGGGAAGGGGTGGAAGAGGGGCTGGAAAGGTCAGGGAGTGGGAGAGGGGTTGGGAAAAGGGATGGAAGGGGGATTTGGGGGGCTTGGGAGGGGTTGGAGAGGGGTTGGGAGAGGGATTGGGGTTTGGGGAAGGGGCTGGGAGGGGGATTGAGGTTTGGGAGAATAACTGGGAATGGGGCTGGGGGCTTGGGAGGGGTTGGGAGTGGGATTGGGGTTTCGGAGAATAACTGGGAGTAGGACTGGGGGCTTGGGCGGGGTTAGGAAAGGGGCTGGGAGTGGGATTGGGGTTTGGGAAAGGGGCTGGGAGTGGGATTGGGGTTTGGGAAAGGGGCTGGGAGTGGGATTGGGGTTTGGGAAAGGGGCTGGGAGTGGGATTGGGGTTTGGGAAAGGGGCTGGGAGGGGGACTGGGGAGGGGGGGAGGGGGGGGGGGGGGGTGGGGGGGGG